CTTCAACACAGCCAAGAGCAGGCAGGAGGACCCCCACCTACTCTGCACGCGGGCGCGCCCTCGGAAGTCTGTGAGCCCGCGAGTTCTGTCTATGTCGTTTATCTCTCTGTCTGTCTGTCCGTCTGTCCGTCTGTCTGGCTCTCTGTCTTTGTCTGTGTCTGTGCGCGAGGCTGTGTCTGTCTGTCTCTCCATGTCTCTCCCAACAAGCCGCTAATCCCCGGTAATTGAAATGTACAAGACTTCGGCTCGTGTACGACTTCGCCTTGCCGTTGCTACTCCCAGTACGCAGTTTGACTCTGCACTTGCGGTGCGATCTTGTGCAACTCGGCCAACACACTCGTTTCACCAACTGTTACTGCGAAACCTGCAAGCTCTGACTTACCACCTTAACAACAATTGCTCCGTGATTGACTATTCATTTGCCAGTGCTTGTACTTCTTTTTATCACCCGGATACGACCTGTGTCACTGTGTCTTGAGCTGCCGCGGTGGCGGGATCCCGGTTTGGGCCCGTTTGGGCTTTAGAGATCTCTGTGCTGGTGTGGGAGGGCATAGACGATGATTTGAGGGCCGTGAGCAACAGAAAGAATCCTGTATCCGGGCACCTGCCACAAAGCACTTTGGTGGCCGTTCGAGCGGCCTGCGTTGCAAGGCAAAGAACCCGTCACTGCCACACAGCTTGACATGAGGATCGCTTTTGTCCATGCCCGGCACGACTAGCAAGTTTGGTCAAGGCATAAAGCAACTTCGCAACCGCTTGCCTGAATCTCGGCAGGCGAATCTCCAAGAACGATGAGGTTCACCCCTTCAGGATGGAAACCTCACTTTCCACTGACCGAAATTCACGATGTCTGCCGACCGCCTCTACGTAAGCCAAACATCTGCTCGCTGGTCACATGGGTGTCATCTTCCTGATCCCAAGAACTGTTGGGACCAATCCAGTGCTGGGTCCCCCTGCCCTCTTGGCGACGTCGTGCCAAAATCTGCACAGGCCGGCAAAGGACAAAGCTTCGCAATGACAGTTAGCTACGCACAGAAACTGACTGATTGATTAACTGACTGACTCATTGCCTGACTGACGGACTGACTGACTGCCTGACCGCTTGCTTGCTTGCTTGCTTGCTTGAGTGAGTGAGTGAGTGAGCGAGTGAGGGAGTGATTGATGGGCGGATCTGATTGATTGATTGATTGATTGACTGAGTGCTGATCGGTCTTTGACTAGATGGCGCAGCTTCGCGAGTACGTTTCATGCGTTCGACAGATTCAGGACTCTGAAAGTCCAGAATGCATTACAACTGTTGTTTAAGCGGTTGGCAAGCACCCCTCAAAATGAATTCAGGGCCCTCTTAGTGTTCGACATTAGCTCCTGGATTTGTCTGCTGCTTGAAGCTGGTGTTCGGAATGGCTTTCCCGGGGGCATGGCCCCGCCTCCTTAAACGCCTGTCGCTTCCATGCAAATGGATCGCCAGGGAATGAGTGCTCGTATATGGCCCTCGCGGACATCACCTCGGCGCTTTTGCAAAGCAGGCAGGTGACCAAACTTCGGTACTGCTTCGCTACGGATTCCTGGATGAGTGCCCCGTGCGCAAATCTTCGAACCCGAGATGCACCCAATTTAATTCGACCTTACCTAACCCCCCCAGGTACCAACTAGATAGGGTACTAGAGCCCCTAGGGCCCTATATAGTAGGTACCTGGGAGGTTAGGGTTAGCCATCCCATTCCCACATCGAGTAAATCGCAAGACGGAGCTCGGGAGCGCGCTGTAACGCGATTCAGCGTTCGCTGCAGGTTCGGCAGGAATCGGCGAGCACTGTCCTGCTTCGGGAGCTGCCCCTCGAATAGCCGATTATGCTAGGGGTCCTAAGGTCCTATAGCCTATAGGGCACATTCGGAGGATCAAGTCGTCAAACCGATGTTCCAGTCTTGGTGCTGCTTCGGGCCTGTTGTTCTAGAATCCTTCGGGGATCCGTTTGAGTCTAGGAGGGGCACCCGGCCTGGTAAATTCATCCGGCATCCGTTAACTGCGACTTGTATGCGTTTTTCACATTTGGAAAGTCGACATAAGGTGAACCGATGACACTGTTCTGTGACAAGCACATGTTTCCAGTTTGAGCCAGTTGAGCTTTTCGTGGTGACTTGGTCAGTGCAAGTGCATGTTGGGAATATGGACCTTGCGGAAGCATGGACCTTGCTCACCTTCACCTTGGAGAGTGAGCATCCCAGTTTTAGGCACGCTTCGCTGCGGTGTGTGGTTTCGAAGGGCGCTGTCGTGCTGCACATGTTGATCGAGCATGCTCCGATGCCACGCGGGATGGAAAGCTTTGAAAGTGCCTGTTTCTGTTTCGCTTCAGCCAAAATGATGCCTTTCACCTGATCAACAGAACAACATCACCTCAAATTTGGCTTGCAATGCTGTCGACGAAGGGCTTCCAGTCGCGCACTGCCGAGCATTCCGAACAGCCCAGCCGTTGCCGTTGCCCTGTCTCTGGTCCCACCAATCATAGCCTACGATAGCGTGTCTTTGACTTCTGAAACTCTCATCTGCCAAGAGAAGTGCGAAGCCTTCAGTGCAGGCAGCGCGCCTGTACCCAGGAAGCATTGCCGTTCGTGACAATCATCTGGCAGGGTCTCATGATTAATGTCGACATCAATAGCAACATGTGCGGCAATCGTACCAGCTGTGGTCAAGAGTTAACAGAATCTAGCAGCGTGAATTCGAGTCAGCGTTCCAGAACCCACTCAGGATAAACTCAAGAGGAACCGCCCCGCAATCCGAAAGTGTGAGCTCCGTCAGCCTCCTGTGTCGTTCAAGGAACTTTGACATAATGTGCATTTTGCTTCGGGGGTGCGATACCTCCGTCCTAGCAGCGTGTTATGTTGTGATTACCATCGTATCTGCTTATCTTCATGCTTCGACGCCCTGCGTCATGACGTGCCGAATTCAGTAACAGGCCCTTATATTTGCTCAAATAGCCTCCTCCAGACACCTATCCTACATCATCACTAAGGACGTATTTCCGGTTCTGATTCCATTCCTGTGGCGCCTCTGGAACTCGTCGTCCTCGTTGAACCCTCAACTGCGAAGACCCTCTACGTATGCTTTGGACATCCTTGGAAGAGACGAACCATGGCCCCCCATGGCAGGCAAACCGGATACGAGGACGGGCGAACTGGGCCAATCCCTGAAGTCATGCCGGCGCTGCCGTCTCTCCCAAATGCATGGCCGTGAGCCTCCAAGGAGCAGAGAAGTTGCTTTCTTCTAAGACTATTAGGGGATGACGATGATGGTGAATCTCGTGGAGAGCATGTCGCGATGATGGTACGGCAAAGGGAGGAATATGACAACAACAATGGCAATCGCATTGATACAAGACACAATGATGGAGCTGATGATGCCGACAACCGGCCAGGAGGTGGATGCTTGACAAACGGGCCGGGGCGATAGTGGCGATGATGATGATGATAATGATGGAAAGATGATGATCTGATCATGATGTTTGTGATGATGATGTGTTGACGATGACGAAGCTTGCTGATGGCGACGAACATGACGAAGATGAGCACATGCCAGCTATATGGTGGGGATGATGGCGATGATCACACTGCTGACAACTGGCGACGATGCTGGTGCTGATGATGCTGATGACGATGCTGAGGATGCATACGATGCTGATACAGAACAACATGAGCATTGTGATGGAAAGAGGATGAACATTGAAAGTGCCTGAAATACTGCTGCCCGATCAGGACGAGGATGATGCTCAGGGGAATTAGGGTGATGGACGCCCACGTCATCATCATCATCATGATCATCATATTAATCATCGTCATCATCATCATCATGACTACCACTTCGAGCAGTGTCAACAGCACCGTCGTCGTCATTGTCATCATCATCATCATTATCATCATCATCAACAACAACATCATCATCATGAACATCATGAGCATGACGATGATCATCATCACCATCATCATTGACGTGGTCTCCGTGACCGTGGCATTCAATTATAATCACCAAAATTCCCAACACGTCGCCGTCATCATCGACATCATCACCATCATCATCATATCATCTTCTTCGCCATCACTGTATATTCTCATCATCCATTTTCTCATCATCACCGTCGTCGTCACAGTCGTCATCATCATCATCATCATCAACGTCCTCCTCCTCCTCCTCATACACATCGCTTGTTACGAGCATTTCTGCGACAGTTGAGATAAATCTCCTGGTGCTTCAGTTGCTACGTTCAAGGTTCAGGACTAGGGCAGTTGTTCGCGACCGTCACGCACTGTGAACGTGGCCGTGCAACCCTAGTAAGAGCATGAACGACACATACCATAGCTGAAAAGAACAACCCCCCAACACGGAGTGCTCTCAGCTGGAGACAGGATTGACTCGACCATCTGCTCGAGCTGCTCCAACTGGTTACCAGGTTGTCAGAGTGGTGAGGACTTACGGCAACGATGCCAAGGGCATGTACAAAAATCGCAAGCGTTCGGGAAGAACTGCTAGGTACCAACAGCTGCATACTTCAGGGAGCACGGCCAAAGGCTACGATCTACTCTTTCATGCGATTTGGGTCTTAATTTCCCGAAGAGCATCAAGAGAGCTCCGGTGTGACCTCAAGGAGTCCCAACGAAAACAAAAACTTACAATCTGGTCGCAAAGCTTCTGAAACTCTCAGCATAAACATAGCTCTTCAAAGCTGTGCTCCTCAAACCGAGTCTGTTCTTGGGAGCTCTACCAATGCAGTGCACCGGAACTGCCTGGTCCTGCCGCCATTGCTGCGCATTGATGGCCGAGCTGCAAAGTAGTGTGTCGTCCCAGTCAAAAATAATCACCTGCACCCGGAGGCGAGGTTACGGCAGGACTGAATTTGCAACTACTCGAGAAACATGTTTCAAAACATTATTCATACATATTATAAGATTATACTTTTCTGATATGTTGCAATGGAACTTCCCGCGGCAGCTGCAAGATGCGGCATGGCTTTTGGATTCCGGAATCAACGCGTCAATGGACATATTTCGAGCACATCCATGCGCCCGATGTGAGCTTCAGAACAGCCTGCGTCACAGGAAAGACTAGCTGATAAGGATCCCAGGGCGGGCACTTGGACGGACACACTTTCTAGCGGCGCAGCCAGCAATGACAAATGTAAAGGCCGCATCCGCACGTTCCCTCTTTGTACAAGGTGGCACAGCATACTGGGGGTTTCGGCCCTTGCAGTGTATCTGATTAGCTAGCTGAAGCTCTTGCCGTCGTAATATCCAGCGCCAACAACTAAGTACACACTCTACCAGGTAACTTGAATGGAGGACAACCCCCAGTTGCTGTAAGGGTCCAGGACGCTCCTTTTCAAGAGGTTGCCGGAGAAATGCAGCCACTGCCAGGAGGGCCATGCTGATGTCACTGGTACCTGAAGGGCTCTAATTGCGGGCTCTTGATTTCTGCAGCGTTTGAGTAAAGGATTACACCTTGAGTTTGGATTCAAGAGGCCCGGATGCGTACACTGGCTAACGGCTTGGCTCAGTTATGGCAGCAGCATCTGTGCCCGATTTGGCGTTGTTTATTGCCTCATGACCCGGACCCCAGATGCTGCTAATCCTAAGATAACAGAGTGTCCGATGGCCCTATAAGGATACCCTAAGCGCTCAATCAATGGTGAGCCCCGAACCCTGAAATCCGGGGTTCTGCATAAACGCCAACCCCTGCCTCGCCCAGCCCAAGCAATTGCTACATTGTGCCCGACCAGTCAAGGTTAAAGCCTTGCAAATCCCGAATCCAACCTCACAAACCATAAACAACAGCCGCAGGCCATGGCACAATGTTTTATACTATACTTATAGTAAGGAACCCCCCAAAATAGTAGAGGCCCCTTTATTATTAGCCCTTCCAAAACCTTACTAGAACCATGTTGAATCCAGGTCAGCCCCTTTAAGGTCCCACAGGGCCCACAAGAATTTACCCGAACAAAATACATTTTGCAAAAACCTATCAACCCAGTAAGGAACCCCGAAAAAACCTTTCAATTTTTATAGAAGGCACATTATGAAACTCTCATACTCATACCCCCTTTATAAGGATCATTGTATAGAAGCTGTACTTAGTTCTGAAACTCTCATTGTCATACCACCCCTTATATAACGAGAGCCCAATATGAAGGAAGGCCTCAGCATCTCTGGAGGCACGCCTTCCAGTCGACATTGCCTCGCGCACGCGCTTTTTGAGCTTATAGGCCAATAGGGTCAGAAGAGGGCTTCGAAGGGCTTTAGACGGGACTTAGGGCTTAGAGACTTAGGGTTTAGAGACTTAGGGTTTAGGGCTCTGTGGGGGGTTTTATTTGCATGTTCCAGCATTGGTGCCGCACCCCGCCCCACCCCTACCCCGCCAGACATTGTCCTTCTTGCGCCTGTACCGCTAGCTCTAAGTACTCTCACGACTTGGATTTGTAGATACCGTTGGTGTTGTTGTTTCCATGTTTCCGATTGCGACCATTGCTAGTATATGCGTAGTTCTGATATCCGTATTCCAGGAATACTAACATCTGCCGTCGCCGAAAGTTCCCGTTGTGTACGGCCAATGATGCTGTCTTGCCAGTTGTATCATCCGAGTTGGACGTTCAACATGTATATGTCCGCGTTCTTGAGCCTAGCTTAACTATAAGACAACCAAAACCACTCAAACTCATCTCCTAAACCCTCAACCCTAAACCCTCCCCTCAAAAAAAGCTAAAAAACAAAATACAAATCATAACAATAATAATAATTTAATAATAACAACAATAATAATTACAATAATAATAAGAATAATAATAATAATAATAATAATAATACAAGAACTGGGCCCCCGGCAACTGCCAGAGCTCCAATGCCAGCTCAGTCTCTCGAGCTTCGACCGTGGAGAGCTCCTCCTCGGCTATGAGGGCTTCTTAAGCTTTCTAAGTTTAGGGTTTAGGGTTTAGGCTGGCTTTAGGGTTTAGGTTTTAGGGTTTCGGTTTAGGGTTTAGGATTTAGGTTTTAGGGTTTAGGGTCTAAGTTTAGAGTCTAGGGTATTTGGGGGGGGAGGGTGGGGGAGGGTGTAGGCTTCCAGGGTTCGATGGCTATAAGGTTTCATTGGGCATTCAGGGATTTTTGGGGTTGGGGTTTTGAAGGGGGTGGGGCTTTGACCTGACACCGGGCTCATGGAGTGGGGCCAGAACGTTTAGGCTTCCAGTGTTACTGTGGCTTTCGGCTACTGTAGACCTTGTACTGGTCTGAGTGCTACAAGGTCGCCATCATCATGATTAAACCATCCGCGGATGTTCTTCTTGACTATCAGTCAAGAACACTAGATTCGTTGCAACTACTGCTGAGGTTGCGGTGGTGGCAGTTGCAAAAAGAAATGTAGCACTAGCAGCAGCAGCGGCGGCAGCAGCAGCATCAGCAGCAGGAGCAATAGCAATCGCAATAGCAATAGCAATAGCGATAGCGATAGAGAAAGCGATAGCGATAGCGATAGCAACAGCAATAGCAATCGCAATGGCAACGGCAGTGGCAGTAGCAGTAGCTCAGTAGCAGTAGCAGTAGTAGTACGAGGTCGTAGTGGCGGCAGCAGCAGCAGCAGCAGTAGTAACAGCAGTAGCAGTACGCCTGGTTGGTGGTGGTGGTGGTGGTGGTCGTGGTGGTGGTGGTGGTGGTGGTGGTGGTGAAGGTGGTGGTGAAGGTGGTGGTGAAGGTGGTGGTGAAGGTGGTGGTGAAGGTGGTGGTGAAGGTGGTGGTGAAGGTGGTGGTGAAGGTGAAGGTGAAGGTGAAGGTGAAGGTGAAGATGAAGGTGAAGGTGAAGGTGAAGGTGGTGAAGGTGAAGGTGAAGGTGAAGGTGAAGGTGGTGAAGGTGAAGGTGAAGGTGAAGGTGGTGAAAGTGAAGGTGAAGGTGAAGGTGGTGAAGGTGAAGGTGAAGGTGGTGAAGGTGGTGGTGGTGGTGGTGGGGGCGGCGGCGGTGGTGGGTGGTGGTCGGGTGGAGGTGGCGGTGGGGGGGGCCACGGCGGCGGTGGTGGTAATGGTGCTGGTGCGTGGCTATTGCTACTGCTGCTGCTGTCGTTTTTGCTATGCTACGACCACGGCATTCCGGGTACTCTCCTTTACCCTGCGCAGTACTCCCGAAGTCTCCTGGAGCTGGCCGTTCTCGCTCTGGTAGATTTCTACGCGCTGACCTCGGCCAGGGATGCTCGAGTTCTGGGCTGTGGGCTGTGAAGCAGCGCGAGCTTCGGGCTTGCTTGGATGAGGATATAAGAGGCACCGGACAAGAAGAACTACTGAATCCCAGCCTTCCCAACATCCACATGCTGCAGTGCCTACTCTTTTCGATCTCCAGGCTCTCCACCCTGGATTCTCCGCGACGAGCTCAGAAACAGGCCATGCAAGATGGTACAGTGTGGTATGTGAGCACCTAGGATAATAATAAGCCAGAATAGAATAGCACAAGATGGAAGACCCCACGGGAAAACACAAACGGTTGACAGGCACAGGACGGAGCTAGAAGCAAGTTCGAACGCCTAAACCCATGACAATTCCAGATTCCAGAACGGGCACAACTAACCTCAAAACTTTCTCAATTGCAGATCTTCAGTAGCAAGGGCCCTCTGAAGAGGTGAATGGATGGTAAAACGGGATTACGATTAGCCTAGCAGCTGCTTTGTCAAAAAGGCGATCGCATGAAACGAAGCCGCAAGCAAAACAACGAAAAGTTGTACCCTAAACCCCTAAACCCGAAACAAGGCGTCTGGAAACCTCGAAGCCCAAAGCCCCAGCTCCCTGAAAAAGCCGAAGACCCCCAAGTCCCATTGCCCTAAACCCCCCCTATACAATCCTAAACTCCTAAAGTCCTGTAAACCCTATATCAATCCTAAACCCAAAACCAAATCATAAACTTCTAAAAAACCTTCAACACCCTACGAACTCCCCGGAGATCTCCCAAAGTAAGGCTTGCACAGAGCGCGTTCAGGTCACTCTGGAGCCTTTCCGCCTGAAAAAGTTCAGAGTGCAGACCCGTAAACCCTAAACCCTAAACCCAAGGTAAAAGGGTCCACAGTAGCTGCGACAAGCCCGGGATTCTCTGTTGCTTCTTGCATGTTCCGGTCCAGTTCCCCCTGCCCCCCGACCTGAAACCCATCAGGCCCCCCCCCGTGGCACACGACGTCGACGTCGTGACATGCTTGCGGGG